ATGAAATGTTCCTTTAACAAGTGAATCATGCGCCCGCGTATTTTTTATTTCTTTAATACATTATCAAGTATCTAATACAATAATATTAAACCAGAACAATAACAGAAAATAACACTAATAAAATTTTGAAAAGGCGCAAAGCTANATAATTCAGATAATTTTACTAATATAACCTTTTTAATATTTACGCTTTAGTTATCTGAATCCCCTTTCACTATCTTCTAATACTAATTCTTTGCTCAAGAAACTTTTCCTTCGGGTTTTCAAGACCAGCTTTTGCACTTTTCCTTTCGTCGTTTATACTTTAATTTGCTTGTATAATCTTCTTGTATTCCCCTTGACAATTCCTCTCTGCTTTTTCTGTCTTATTTATTATTATTAAAAACCTTTTTTTTCCCGTCTCCTAGATCACTGCACACTTAATTTAAAATACAAAATTTCTTTTTCATTTAACCTATCAAATCACTTTAAATTTTACATTTTCAATTTAAGTTTTGCAATATTATTTAATTCCTAATTTGCTATTTAATACCCTTATTTTATACCTACTTTTGTAAATTTAGATTAATATTTCATTTAAAATTCATAGTTTACTTATAAATTGTCATTATGTATCCAATTGTCATCAAATTTTAAATCAGTAACTTCCACTGTCATTCCTTGACATTAATTTCTTTTCATCCCAATACTGACATTTAAACCTTTGAACTATTGATTCTTCTCAATATATATAATTAGCCATACATGAGTAGTAATTTTATTTTGGGTCAGGAATTTTTAGGACTGAGGAGGATGTCTAAAAAATAAATAAAAATATTTCTCTGCTTGCTTAGTCTTTTATTAGCTACGAGTATAATATACTAATACTAAAGTACTTACAGTGCAAATTTGTTTTCTCGTTAAAATGCTTGTAAACTATATATGTGCCTTAGTGTGAGTATTTCGCAAAATAGTTATAACTGAGATTAATGGTGAATCCTTCTGCGTGTGCATTCATCAATAGATAACCGTTATGTAGGAATATGTTGCTTTGAGTACCTAGGATATAAAACATAGGTAAATACTTTAAATTGTTTTCAAATTACAGAATGGAAAGTCACAAATATTTTTTAATAATCAAGATACATTTGTTTAAAAACCTATCATGCTCAGATACCGTCCATTGACAGATTTGATTACCCATCACGGTGCTCCTGAGCGAATTTAAATGAAATTTTTGAGTCACTCCAAAACAATAAGATATCCTGTTTCTACAATACTTGAACATCATTTTAAGCCCTGAACCAAAATATTTGGGGTGGCACTTTTTTTCCGATGGCAAAATAAGAAATTTGATATTTTTCATTTAGGTAACTATAAAAATTTTACTTCAAAAATCAAAAATAGAGTCGTAAGTTATTTTAACAAAGTGAAAACTATTGATACATATATATAAAAATTATTAAATTAATATTAAAAATAAATTAAACAGTTTGCAATTATTACAATATACAGGGTGTAACTAAATAAGTATAAAACATTTAAGGGGGTGATTCCTCATCGAAAAAAAGATAGGATCTTTCATATAAAGAAACTTCATTGGAGCATCCCTTGTTAAGATACAGCCCCTTAAAAGGGGTACATAAAATTTGTTTAACAATTTTTTTCACAAGCACTAAACAAGTTACAATATTGAAATTAACCTGACATTTTCTACTACCAAAAAGACACTTAGCCAGTAATTTATTTGGTTTACCCCATGGT